GGCTCAAGCGAGTCTCCTGCCTCTGCCTCCCAAGTAGCTGGGACCACAGGCGCCCGCCACAACGCCTGGCTATTTTTTGGTTGCAGCCATTATTGCTATTTGGCGGGTCCGGGCTGGGGATTTGAACCCGCCACCTTAGGTGTACGTGGCTGGCGCCTTAGCCGGTTGAGCTATAGGCGCCGAGCCGGGAGTTAAGTTTTAAGTCATACTCTTGAGATGAATAGGATCAAAATTATCCTCAAAAGTTCCCTAGGAGGGTGCAAAGGTTGAGATGGCAGTCCTGTTTCTAACTAAGTCTAGCACACTTTTCCCTTCAGCTTTGAAATTTGTTACTGTTTCTTTGTAACCCAGATAAAGTAGTTAGGTTACCTTTAGAGTCTGAGTTGGGCAAGTAAACATAAGTGAAAGGGTTAGAGTCTTGGTGCTGTGTGAGATGCACTGAGAGGTGCTTGCCCAGAGGAGGCTTAAACGGAAGACGACAAACCAAGGGAACAGTATGTTTGTGGTCCTATCTTAGGTTCATTCTGAAGCATGTGCTCACTGAGTGGAAAGTGGCAGGCAGAATTGCTGGTATTAAAGTAGCAATTTTATCTTTCCTGGACTGCATATTAAGTAATTTGTTATGTTAAATAGTTTTTGAGTGGCATTGCATTCAGAAGCATGCAAGCTGTTATTTATTTCTCCATGTACTTCCTGGCTAAGGGTTGGCTGCAAAAATGTCTTATGTATTTTTGCCAGTGGTTGACTTGTGCAGTCCCCATATGTCAGATATGTAAAAGGATGTTTAGCTTTTTAATGGTGGTTAACGTTTTAAAAAATATGGATATTTTTCTTTTTTTCGGGCCCCATGACATCTGCAGGAAATAGTAGTTTGCTTTTAAAAAACAAATCTCTTTGTGAATGGGGACCAAAGGCATTTTTTGCTTCTGGCCTTTTGTTGCTTTTGCTTTTGCTTTTATGGAAGTCATCTCTCAAAAACCCAAGAGTGATACCTACCACTTCTCCTAAAGTAGTTTTGGTTATGTTTGAAATGACAGCAAAGGCTCGTCGCCTGTGGCTCAAGTGGCTAAGGTGCCAGCCACATACACCTAAGGTGGCGGGTTTGAATCCCCAGCCCGGGCCCGCCAAACAACAATGACGGCTGCAACCAAAAAATAGCCGGGCATTGTGGCGGGCGCCTGTGGTCCCAGCTACTTGGGAGGCTGAGGCAGGAGACTCGCTTAAGCCCAGGAGTTGGAGGTTGCTGTGAGCTGTGATGTCACGGCATTCTACCCAAGGGGACAGCTTGAGGCTCTGTCTCAAAAAAAAAAAAAGAAATGACAGCAAAAAGGAAGTGCATTTATTTCAGTTAGGGAAATAAGAAAGTGGTACTGGTTTAGCATTAAACGGACATAGAAAAATAGTTTTAAGCCTTTTTGCAGGGGAAAAAGCTTTTTTTTTTTTTCCCCCAAATTTCACATTAATATGAGGGTATAAACAATTAGGATGATTAGGTTACAGTGTTTGCATTTGTTAGGTAAAGTCTCTGTTGTAGTTGTGTCCCACACCCAGGAGCTGTGCTGTTCCATATATTCCAGGGGAAAATCTTAAGCAAAGTTAGGAACCTCAAATTCTGAGTCCCAGCGTTTTCTTAATTATGATGGGATAGTGTAATTTACTCTGTGTTCAGTCTGAACCTCTTTTTTTTTTTTAAGGCAAGCATGAAACAAAGTTTATTAGCTTATTGAGGAAAAGAAAGACTTGTTACAAAGTAAGAAAGTTTACAAAGCAAGATACATTCACCATAGACAGTGAATGGATCTCCATTGCCAGGGCAAGTAGGCAAAGAGACTGCCTTCCACCCCCAGTCCCCACCCCAGACGGACTCTTTGTTGCCCAGACTAGAGTGCCATGACATCAGCCTAGCTCACAGAACCTCAACTCCTGAGCTCAAATGATCCTCCTGCCTTAGCCTCCCAAGTAGCTGGTACTATAGGTGCATGCCACAAGGCCCAGTGAATTTTTTCTGTTTTTAGTAGAGAAAACTACTCGGTCTTGCTCAGGCTGGTCCCAATTCCAGATTTCTGAGCTCAAGGGATCCTCTGCCTCAGCCTCCCAGAGTGTTAGGCTTACAAGGCCTAACTGCTCCTGGCCTGAACTCCCCCCACCATGTTCTTTTATTTGTTCATTTGCAAGCCCTTAATAGAACAAAAACAGGAAGAGGCTTGGCACCTGTAGTTCAGTGGTTAGGGCGCCAGCCACATACACCAGAGCTGGCGGGTTTGAACCCAGCCCAGGCCTGCTAAAAATAACAGTGACAACAACAACAAATAGCTGGGCATTTTGGCGGGCCCCTGTAGTCCTAGCTACTTGGGGTGCTGAGGCAAGAGAATCACTTAAGCCCGAGAGTTTGAGGTTGCTGTGAGCTGTGATATCATAGCACTCTACTGAGGGCGACATAGTGAGACTCTGTCTCAAAAAAAAAAAAAAGAACAAAAACAGGAGGAGGAATTGATTCTTTTTTTTTTTTTTTTTGAGACAGAGCCTCAAGCCATCCCCCTGGGTAGAGTGC